TGGAGTATTACTCGGCAATCAAAAAGAGTGAAATCTTAGCATCTGCGACTACGTGGATGGAACTAGAGGGTGTTATGCTAAGTGAAATTAGTCAGTCAGAGAAAGACAAATGTCATATGACTTCACTCCTATGAGGACTTTAAGATACAAAACAGATGAATATAAGGGAAGGGGACAAAACATAAGAGACTCTTAAATATGGAGAACAAACAGGGGGTTGCTGGAGGGGTTGTAAGAGGGGGGATGGGCTAAATGGGTAAGGGGCATTAAGGAATCTGCTCCTGAAATCATTGTTGCACTCCATGCTAACTAACTGGGATGTAACTTAAAAAATAAATAAATTATGAATAAAAAAAAAAAAGAATACGTTCTTCTTGCCTTTCTCCGGTCACCCTTTAAGGAACAGGCGGCAAAGCACCGGCATGGCAGGATGCTCAGCCTCTGTGGGGGGGTGTTTGTACTGAAACCTGGTAATTGCTCCAGGTCCCCTAAGCAAGCATCTGACAAGGAAGGAGCTCTTCCCTCGCCCAATACCTGTGTCGTGTCATCACACTTTTCCCCATTTTCGCTGGTTATTTCCAAGCGGATAAATTTTGGAGGGCGCCCTGGCCGTCGACCTGGGCCAAATCGCCTCTTGCCTCGTCCCCTTCCTCTGCCTCTTGTTCTGGGGACAAAAGATTGGGTTATAAACAGTCATGGTTACACAGTTCTCACTAACAAATATTTCCCTCGATGGTCCTGATGAGCCCTGAATCTTGATTTTCTCTCATTTTACTACTTGTCTTGATTCTTTTTCGAACAGGAACAGTCGTTTTGATAATATACACTTTCTAAACGTCTCATCCTTGCCATCTAGATAGCTCTTACATTATTCAGGGAAAAAAGGAGCTATAAAAACTCAAAGCACTGACACCATTTCATTATTGAAAGTTCTGGAAACACAAACATATCTCTGAAATGCCATGAGAAATGCAGACAGGACAGAACACGCTAAGCCTTATAGCCATTCCTAGAAACGAGATTCCATTCTTTCCTTCTTGTCTCCTTGCTTCACTTCCTATTCCTTCCAAGAACTGTGGCTGGATTCAAAAGAACTTTCTTGTTTTACCATAAGCTTCTGGAAGCTCAAAACAAACTTCTAATTCAATTGTTCCATAACATGCCTAGTAAACACCAAATCAATTTCATCCCCTTTAATAGATTCCTAACATACAAAAATTCCTTAATAAAACGAATTCAGAAAGTGTATCATTAAAATCTCTTTCAGAAGATGCGTGTGTGAGGGGATTAAGAGTACACTTACTTGATGAACAGTGAGTAATATATGGAATTATTGAATCACTATGTTGTACACCTGAAACCAATATAACACTGTATGTTAACTACATTGGAATTAAAAGAAAAGGAGATGTGTGCGAGAGATATGTATAAAATTAATCAGATCATGTTTTATTCTTCCACTCATCTATTTCACAATTTAACAAAAATTATACGTTGTTCCAGAACTTTTAAAAGACTCCTTACTATTGAAAATTCTGAGCCTAGGCAAATGTAGAGAGTAAGACCAATGTGCCCATTACCTAATTTCAATCCTTAGCAATTCATGGCTAATTTTATTCCATCATATTCCCACTATTTCACTCACACACACAAACACCCATTAGATTTTTTCTTAGTTACTTATTACTTTTTTTGGTAAGTAGGCTCCACACCCAATATGGGGCTTGAACTCATAACCCTGAGATCAAGAGTCGCACGTTCTACTGACTGAGCCAGCCAGGCGCCCCCATTAGATTATTTGTGAAGTAAGTCCCAGATGTTATTTCATCCGTAAATATTTCAGTAAGCGTCTCCACAACATAAAGACTCATATTATGGAGCGCCTGGGTGGCTCAGTCGGTTAAGCATTCGACTTCGGCTCAGGTCATGATCTCATGGTTCAGTTCAGCCCCGCGTTGGACTCTGTGCTGAGAGTCAGAGCCTGGAGTCTGCTTTGGATTCTCTGTCTCCCTCTCTCTCTGCCCCTCCCCCATTCATGCTCTGTCTGTCTCTCTCTCTCTCAAAAATAAATAAATACTTTAAAAAGATTCATATATATCCACAATACCATTATTACACCTTAAAAAAAATCTGATAGTTGCTCAATATTATTAAATCTAGTCAAAGTTGAAATTTTCCTAATTGTCTCAAATTTCTTTTTAACAGTTAGCCTACAAATATCTTTACCTACCATGTGTCACGCTTGTGCTAGGCAATAAAGACAAGTTCTATATGACAGTTTTTACCTTCAGAAGTCTAGTAGAGGCAGCAGGCACATAAACCAAAAATCACAATAAAACACAAAAAGTGTTATAATAGAGCCATGAACAGAGTTCTAGGGACACCTGACAGAAAATGACTCAACTCTCACTGTGTCCTCCACCCACCTCAGACATTTACTCCCATGGTCATATCCTAGACCTTGTTATCCTCAATAAGTGCAGAGCCTCCCGCTTTACACCAATTCTGTGCATCGTCCACTCTAATGCTATCTCTAGCTTTCTAGCGCACATCCTCAAATACCTGGACTCAACAATCCTTCTATCTCACTACCACCTACAATCTAGTCCTTGTCACCTATTTGCAATCTTAAGTCTTCTTGATGTTTTCCCTCCCTTCTTTCCACCCATTAAGCAAAGTCATTCGCTGTCAGCACTCCCTCGTGTATGCTCTTGATTGCCATTCCTGATCCATCACTTTTGCTGTGTTGCACGCGCTTGGGAGAAACTACTGTGCAATCCAATTCCCCAGCTGCTCTGCACTGACATTATTGCAGCAAATGGAGCTGGAAAATGACACCCAGCATGCTAGTGGTCTTATTTTAATGTCATGACCATGAACCTCAAGGGAGCTCTTACCTTGCAGGCAGTCAGGCTGTGCCTCCCTAGAACACTGACTTTCTTACTTTCCTAAATGCCTTGTCACACCATCTCTTCTCTTTTCAAGTCCTGTAAAAGCTGGCAACCCTACATCTGTCCCATCACCCTAGTCCAACGTACTCTCGTTCTTGACCTAAACTGTTGAAATAGCTTCCAGCTGGCCTCCCGTCCTCACTCTTGCTCCAATGAAAGCAAAAGTGACATTTTTTTTTATCCAGCATGACATTTCGACACATAAATTCACATCACAGGTACTCCCTGATCAGAACCATTTAAGACTTCTTATCATGCTTAGAATGAAATCCAAATTTCTTACCATTATCCACAAAGCCTACCTGATCTGGCTCCAGCCTACCCCATCCTATATGATTCTCTCTGATTTATTTCTTTCAGACAGTGGAATGAAACCTATGATTTAGTTTGATGAAGAAATCCTACTTCTGAAAAAAAGTTTACAAATCAAAGATGCAGAATGTGCTATCTTAAGAATTCCTATCCGAGAATCTCAAGTTAGGGGAGATTTAACTGAGGGGGAAGGATCTCCTGTTGCTGGGTACTCTGGTCATGCTGGAAAAGAAGTAAATAGTAAATGAGGATGGGGGTGGGGCAAAGGAAATGACAGATAAGAAACTTCCCTCAGTGGGGGCACCTGGATGGTCAGTCGGTTAAGCATCCAACACTTGATTTCAGCTCAGGTCATGATCTCACGGTTCATGAGTTTGAGACCCACGTTGGGCTCTCTACTGACAACACAGAGCCTGCTTGGGATTCTCTCTCTTCTCTCTCTCTGCCTCTCCCCTGATCTCTCTCTCTCTCTCAAATAAATAAACATTTAAAAGAAGAAGAAGAAGAAGGAGGGGGAGAAGAAGAAGAAGAAGAAGAGGAAATAATTTCCCTCAGCAGCCCACCTGATTACCTGTCTATACACAGAAACACTCATTAATTTACAGACAATGAATGTGGACCTTTAAAACTGGAAATGAATGTGGACCTTTAAAAACTGAGTTGGTGAAACTTTCTTCCTCATTATACCTGCTAAACACATCCAGTTTTTCATCATGGGAATTGAGATGCTGCTGCAACTGCTCCGAGCTTATAAATCGGCGGTTACATTCGTAGCAGGGCCAATTCTTCTCCTGCTCGCGAAGAACTGTAGTCACAGGAGAGAAATCATAGAGGCTAATGATCAACAGACAGCGATAAACTCAAGTGCCCAGTACCTCCACCAATGTCATCTCACAGGTAGCCCAGTGTTCATAAACATAGTGTCTGCTGTTTGCATCACTGTTTTGTGATAAAATCAAAGGCTACAGTTTGACAAAGAGTAGTTGTTAGGATCTTATTTTCTTCTACATTCATGTATGACATCAAAGAACAAACTCTGTCATACTACCCTTTGACACCTCCCCAACAGACACACACACACACACACACACACACACACACACACACACAGACAACACCTCACCACACCGGAAAGGCAGAAATGTGCTACAATGGAAATCTGGATTCAGATACCTTAGTGATTCAGATCCAGGTTTTATAATCTGAAGGCACATTTTGTCACAAAAAAAAAAAAACCTTAAAAGTCAATGCTCAATAATAAAATGTTACAGTATCTACTAACTATCTACTAAAGTTGATTACTGGCACACCCGATCCCAGCAATTCCACCCCTGAATACACACCCCACAAAAATATACACAAATGTTCGCTAAAGACATGTAGAAGAATGTTCACAGTGGCACTTTTCAAATTAGCCCCAAACTGGAAACAACCCTGTTGCATCATAAAGAATTTGGCTGGCTTTTATCCCTGGGTCCTGGCAAATTACCTGTAAGTCTTTGGAATTTCCCATGTAATAGGAGTGTTTGTTGTTATTCGTTGTGGTCTTTGACCATACCTGAGTTTCTGCTAATATGAATTAGGATGGGGGCTGCCTGTGCCAGAAAGCTGAGCCATGTGATTACAGGGTTGGGGCTTTGAAACAAGTGGTATCAGCCAGGGAGGAAGAGCTGGAGAGTAAGTTCAATCGTGTGCCCAAATGATTCTATCAACCATTCCTATGTTGTGATGCCTCAATAAAAACTCTGCACACTGAAGCTCAGGAGAGTTTCCCTGGTTGGAAATCACATATCAATGTGCCAAGGAAGTCACATGGCCTAGCGACATGGAAGCTTTGCATTTGGGACCCTCACAAACCCTGTCTTCAGTATGTCTTCATTTGCCTGGTCTTGATGTGTGTCCTTTATAATCCTAAGTATAGCACTTTTCTGAGTTCCGTGAGTCACTCTGGTAAATTATCCAGCCTAAGGAGATACTAGCTCCCTAAACTGTAGTTAGTTGGTCAGAAATACAGGTAGCATGGGAACCCCAAGCTTGCAGATAGTGTCTGAAGTGAAGAGAGTCTTGTAAAAGACGTGGCCTTTAACTTGCAAAAACGTAATCTAACCCAGGTAGTGTCAGAAGTGCACTGTGCAACCTAGATTTTCATCTACAGTTAAATAGATAAATGAATTATGGTATATTCATACAAGAGAACACCAAATAGCAATGAGGATGAATGAATTACAATAATATACAACAATATGGATAAATTGCACAAATAAATGTTGAGCAAAATATTCCCAGACATACATCATATAATTCTACTTATATGAAATTTGGTAACAAGCATATTATATCTGTGGTATCAGAAGTCAGGAGATCCATTGCACTTGGGAGTGAAGAAGAATTGGAAAAAGGCACAAGGGACTTCCAAGGTACAGGTCATGTTGTGTTTCTTGATCTGAATGCAGGTTACATAGATATGCTCACTTTGTGAAAATTCATCAGGCTGTATACTTATGATTTGTGCATTTCTCTGTATGTAAATTATACTTCACTAATATTTATATCAAAAACAAAGTCAATGCCTGTCTTGCTAATGTCCTCAGAGATGATTAAATCTAGATAGAGATCATCCTCTGGTCTAGGTCCTAATTTAGTATTTGGAGGTTTTCATTATATTAAATACTGTTTTCCAGCACCCACGAAAGAAATGTAAACATGTCCCTGTCGTTTGATCCTAGAATTAGACAGGGATATGTAGCTGGAAAAACAAAACAAAACAAAACAAAAAAATACTGGAATATCATTAGATATATAGAGGTAGAAAAGTTGGAGATTGCATAATGATGTAATATATACAATTTACAATTCATGTAGAAAATAGAAAATAGAAAAAAGTCCAATCACCTTTCCTTTCTTCCTCAGAAATGTCATGAATTTTCTGGTTCACAAACTCAGCATAGGATGCAGCATACCACACCTGCAAGAACCAAGTACGGCATCAAGAACTAAAGGACATCACCAGATGTTCTGTGCATGCATAAATTCTTTCTCCTGCTTGCATAAAACAATTCAGGCTTTCCCACAACCCACAAAAAACAAACAAACAACAAAAAGATCGCACTGGGAGCCGATCTCTTTCACACCAGATGGTCAGTCGGGAAGCTCACATGCCAAGACACACTAACTGTGTGTTTTCTTTTTCCTTTTTAAAAAATTGTTTTTGTTACCAGAAAAACTTCACAAGAGATAATATTAATAGTCTCTTCATCAAAATAAAGCATAGCCTTCTGGTTGTTTTATCTGTATGTAAACACGGGTTTTCACACAGCTGGAATCATAGTGGCTTCCACCCCAACATGTCACCCAATGGCTCTTGCTGGGATCGCCAATGAGGATTTCAAACGCTACCACACTCTCCTGAGTCTCCTCCTCCCTCCAATCTCACTGGCTGCTTCTGCTCAGTCTCCTCGTCGGGCTCTTCCTTTCTCAGCTTCCTCAGAGCTTAATCCAAGTCCAGGGCCTTCTTATTTTTCCCTAAAGTGACCACATCTATTTCCAACCAACTCTATGTCAACAGCTCCCAAATTAATATCCCTATCCCAGACCCTCCCTCTCTGTTCCCTCTACATACATTCCATGCCTACCTGGCATTTGGCATGTTTTACAAACAGCTCAAACTTAACATGTCCAGAATTGAATTCTAGATGCTTCCCTATTGCACCCCTACCCCTGGCCATCTTTTTCATCTCAATAAATACCCTGCCTTCCAACCAACTGCTCAGACTTGAAACCTAAAAGGTATCTCATATTTCTAAGTGTCCTTCTGTCATCCTTCAGCAAGAGCTGTGAACAGCTCAAATGTTCTCCAACTCTGCTTCTCCCACCAAGATGCATGCCAAGATGCGCTCTTGCCTGTTGTTCTAAGAGCCTCCTCTTTTCCACTCTTGCTCCCTCCAATCCATTCTTGACACAGGAGCAGAGAAGGCTTCTAAAAACATAATCAGATTTCATCATTCCCATGCTTAAACAGCTTCTCACTCATAAAAAACATGCCATGTTCGATGACGGTCTCTAAAGGGCTCCATGATCTACTCCAGGTCTTCTCACTCTCCCTTAGTGCCTTTCAGCAAGAGGGACTGCTTGCAGTTTCTCAAACGGGCTAAGGTCTTTCCCACCCCAACCTTTGCCCTTGCTGGTCCACCATCAGGAGTGTTGGGTTCTTCCCCTTCACCTCCCCTAGCCCTTGTACAGCACTGGCTCCTTCCCATTCCATAGTCCCTCACTTCTTATCATCTCCTCAGTGAGGCCTTCCCTCTCCAGCATTTCTAAATTGGTCCCTTGCCTGCTATATGCTCTTTCTGCACCATTTGTTTCCTTCATAGTTCCTACCACTATTTGATATTACAGTTGACCCTTGAACAACAGGAATTTGAACTGCATGGGTCCACTTATACACAATTTTTTTTATAGTAGAGTAGTGCGAATGCACTTTTTCTTCCCTATGACTGTCTTTTTTTTTTTTTAATACTTATTTATTTTGAAAGAGAAAGAGAGAGAGGGAAGGACAGAGAGGGAGAGAGAATCCCAAGCAGGCTCCACACCATGAGCACAGAGCCTGACATGGGGCTCAATCCCATGAACCCACGAGATCATGACCCAAGCCAAAACCAAGAGTCAGACCGCTCAACTGACTGAGCCACCCAGGCACCCCTGCCCCCCGCTGCCATGATTGTCTTAATAGCATTTTCTTTACTGTAGTCTACTTTATTGTAAGAATACAACATATAATACATACAGTATACAAAATGTATGTTAGTCAAGTGTTTATGTTATTGGTAAGGCTTCCAATCAATGGTAGGCTATTAATAGTTAAGTTTTTGGAGAGACAAAAGTTCTGTGTAGATTTTCAAATGCCTGCGGCGTCAGCAACCCTAGTCCCCGTTTTGTTTGAGGCTCAACTGTATTTGCTTATTTACATCTTTCTGCCCACTTTCCCTCTAGAACACAGGCACCAGTCTGTCTCTTCTTAGTGTCTGAAACAGAGTTTCAGAAGTTCAATATATTAATTGCCAAATGAATTAATCATGTATAATTGTTATGACATACTATTTTAACTATATGGAAATATTTGAGACCCCATTTTTAATTGTGGAATAATATTCTACAGAATCTGTGTTCTGTAATTTACTTGACCAGGACCTGTAGTTGGATTTTGAGTTTATCATTTTGCTGTTATAAATTCTACCCTATTCCATCAATTCCAAGATGTTTATTTCTCCTATTTTAATATCTCAGACCATCTCACTATCCATGGCATTCTGCAATTACTGCTGTAATGTAGCTTTCTTTCACTACCTGCTTGTTTCTCTTGTACAAACCTGGCCATGCTCTTTACGCTGTTTTCACCTCATTCAGTTGTGTGCCCCACCGGCACTCCATGACTTATGACTTATTAACACTTGATAAGAAATGCAAAATAAAGAAAAAAAAAGAAAAAAAAAGCCATCTTCCTGAGAATAAATAAAGGAAATGTCAAAGCAATGCAAGGCTGGTGTGATCACCTTGCAGGACTTCTATGAATATACCAAACATCAAATTGTCAGAAACTTCCTACTGACTTAATGAAAAACCACCTAACTTCCAAAAATATGTGTTTTAATTGAGGGAAAAGACATATGGGTTCAGTCAGTGAGAAAGTATAGGGTCAAAACTTGCACAGAAATGCCATCAGTAGTTTGGAAAAATATCCAAGAGGCAACAGTAGATCATTTATTTTAAAAATACTACAGCATCGGGGCACCTGGGTGGCTCAGATGGTTAAGCGTCCGACTTCGGCTCAGGTCATGATCTCATAGTTCGTGGGTTCTAGCCCCGTGTCGGACTCTGTGCTGACAGCTCAGAACCTGGAGCCTGCTTCGGATTCTGTGTCTCCCTCTCTCTGCCCCTCCCTGACTTGCACACACTCTCTCTCTCAAAAATAAATATATATATTTTTTAAATACTACAGCATCACGAACACCTTGATGGCACAGAAGACAATAGATAAACAAAACACAAATATCCATGACAAAGTAAAACAGTGATTCTGGTTTTTTTTTAAATGTTATGGGCGTCTGGGTGGTTCAGTTTGTTAAGCACCTGAGTCTTTATTTCGGCTCAGGTCATGATCTCGCAGTTTGTGGGATTGAGCCCCAAGTTGGGCTCTGCACTGACAGCTCAAAGTTTGCTTGGTATTCTCTCTCTCCCTCTCTCCCTGCAACTCCCCCCAACCCCCTACTCTCTCACTCTCTCTCTCAAAACAAATAAACTTAAAAAAAGTTACACCGTACACAAAGGCAGTTTATACCTTAACCAATTTTTTGCTTATATGTGCCTTTTTAAGTATGCAGAAATGTGGTATGATTTCAAAATTATCTCTAAATAAGTCTAACACAGCTCCTGCAATAAGTAGAAAATTACTCTTTTTGGTGATAAAAATAAGCACAGTAACATAGCTTAAAGTGGCAACATATTTTTTTCTTAATGGTGTATAAAATAATGGTTCATCTTCAAGTCCTGGGTATCTGAGTCAGTGAAACACGGCATTACAAAATTAGAATGTATCTAGTTCTATCTTTGTTTATAATTATTTCCTCAGACTAATTTTCAAGGACTGGATTTACCAAGCCAAGTACATTTTTACTACACACAGCCAGAAATAATCCCACAAAATACTGCAATTTTGTAACAAATATCCCTATTTTTTAAACCCTCACATTCATTGTACTACATCCATTTATTTTTTGCTAATTAATAACAATAGTAACTCAGAGTTGCTTTAAGGGTTTTATAATTATCAACATTGAAAAAACATTTTTTAATATTTCTTTACTAGTGATTCCTCCTCCAAATAAAGTCTGTTCCTGGTATTCAGTCATGTGTCTGCGTGGATACCAAAAAGGGTAGAGGTGTTTTCTCTGTTTTTTATCTTAAACCTTTTAACGTGTATTACAAATACTTATCCCACCCTGTTGCTTCCTTTGCATCTGTTGTTTTGGTTGTTCGTTACACTGATAGTCTTATTTAATTGTTTCTGCCTGTCTTTACCTCTACAGTTCTATCTACTGATTTAAGAGAGAAAATAATCTCCCTTCCTCAGTGAAGAAGTATTCACTTTGGTATCAAGAATTTACTGCGATGGATAATATGAGATATGAATCTCCTTTCCTATATTTTCTTTGGGGCTAATGAATCATCTATTTGATGGTTTCAAAGACACGGGTTTTGTATAACTTTTGAACAAAGCCCAGGTCTTTTTTCTCCCCCTAAAGAGGTACGTACTTCTCACTCTTACCCCATTGAAGCACTGTGCAATTCAGTGTTCGTGTACTGATAAAATCATTTCTCACCTCTTTTTTCATTTATATCAAGAATTTTTCCTTAGAATCACAGCAGAATTTTCATTATGTCATCAAGAGTTGGTATTTAGACAAATTTCTATCGTTATTCCCCCAAAATATATTCCTGAAATCAGAAGGCAGTGCATAGAATTCTTTGGGTAAAACGAAGTAATCCGGTAAAGAGATCTTGCCTATACATCTACATTTGATTTTATAAGATTTCCTGTTTCCAACCAATTCTGCAGAGTGTATAAATGACATTAAGTGACCCCAACTTTAATCACTCCATCACAAATACCAGTCTGTTCCCCAAACACAACTACCTCTTTACCCATGGGCCTTATTGTAGGCGTTGGACAGACCCCAAAGTCATACACTTTTCATTCTGGTTTTTTTTTTTTTTTTAATGTTTATTTTTGAGAGAGAGAAAGTGACCGAGTGTGAGTGGGAAAGGTGCAGAGAGAGAGGGAGACACAGAATCCGAAGCAGGCTCCTGGCTCCGAGCTGTCAGCACAGAGCCTGACGCAGGGCTCAAACCCACAAACCGTGAAATCGTGACCTGAGCCGAAGTTGGACGCTTAACTGACTGAACCACCCAGGCACCCCTCGTTCTTTTTCATTTATGGAATTACCACAGATGTACTGTACACAGCAGGTACTCAATAAGTAAGCAAATTATAAGGAAAGGAACATTTTTATAAGAATCCCACTTCAGAGAAAAAATAAGAAGAAAAGCGTGAAACAATCACTATTTCTGACAAAGGTACCACGGCCCCCAGCACTGTACCTTCAGTTCCTGTTTGGGTTCTACATTCTTTATTGTTGTATAATACACATGGTGGCCATATTGGTAAGCCACCAGGTTCTGCTCCAGGTGATTCTGGGCTGGACGTACGAACATCATCCAGTTACATAGGGTCTCATCAGACAATTCAAACCACAGGTCTTCATGCAAATCCCTATCTTTTCTGTCCCCTTTCTCAAGAGAAACCTGTAACCAAAGAGAACGTAAAAAGCCACACCAAAAAAACAAACAAAACTTTTAACATGCATTAGTGTAGTAATATACAAAACACTGCTCCTTAAATTAACCATGTATCCTTATTCTTCCTTGTGTATCTAGAAAGATACAGGCATTGTGTCTTGCCAAATGTAAAAGGAAAAGGACATTTTCTGAGAATTACCTGGCAAAATGTTAAAGTTAACAATCTCACTGTAGCTTCAGTTGAGGCTTCATCATTAACTAACACATCAAAAAATGCTGTAAACAAGCCGGGAAATCAAAGCAAAATACTCTCTAGTTCCTTACAAGTTCCTTATTTTAGGGATTCAACTGCATTCATTTCTAATGAGTAGCCTAGGGGCACCTTGGTGGCTCAGTCTGTTAAGAGGTTAAGCGTCCGACTTCAGCTCAGGTCATGATTTCAGGGCTTGTGGGTCCAAGCCCCATGTCAGGCTCTGTGCTGACAGCTCAGAGCCTGGAGCCTGCTTTGGATTCTGTGTTCACCAAAGAAAACCTCCCCATGACAACAGCTGATTTCTCAAAAACCACACCCCAAATATTCTTCCTTCCTGCTGCCCTTTCGTGGTTCTCCAGAGTGGCTCTCCAAGAAGCAGACAGCGCAGAGGTTAGATAGAAGCAAAAGCATCAAATGTGAAGAACAGAGATCAGTATAAATACACTTTAATATTAGGTGAGCCATTCTTTAACAACAGCTTCAACAGGACAGACCTGTTTCAGAAACTGAAAAGTAGTTTTCCTATTTTAGGGAAATTGTCCTCTCCCAAAAATATATATTTAAAAAAAAGAAGAAAGAAAAGGAGATTGGGAGACATGGAGAGACACCAGGGATGGGTGCGCACACAGAGGAAAGGCATGAGGACACAGAGAGAAGGAGGCCGTCTACAAGCCGAGGAGAGAGCCCTCAGAGGAAACCAACTCCACCAGCACCTGCATGGTGGCCTTCCAGCCTCCAGCACTGTGAAAAAAAATAAATTTCTGTTCTTGAAACCACCCAGACTGTGGTAGTTGTGACAGCAGCTCCAGCAGACAATACAGCCCCTGAGAATGGCCACCTCTCAGAATAATCCCTGAGGGGGCTGAAACTGCAATCTCCAATTTATTGGTGAGAGAGAAAATGTTTCCCTTCCAAACAAATTCAGCAGTGAAAGAAAATACTAGCAAACAACTGCTATGGAATTAAGAAAATCAGTAGGAAAACATGTGCCTCTTTAAAAGTTATTAAGAGCAAGAGTGAACTATAATAAAGCAGAAATTACCTTCAGATGAATGTAACAGTCTTTCAGCTCGGACTCCCTGACGAGGGGTCCCTCCACAGGGCCAAACTGGGTGCGCTTGGGAATGCGCCTTTTGGAGAACACCCCTCCAAGGAACCTGTCGATGTAGAGGACCAGGGGGAGGCTCGCTCGTGCTCTAGTGAGCACAGGCCGATTGGGGATTGGATGCAAGGGGCCATGCTTTGGGCACACTGAAGAATGAGCGTTATTACACTCTTCACACCCTGCAAAAGAAAGAAAATCTTAAAGTCAAATTCCTGAACATCACCTGATCTCAGGTAAAAAGTTCTAACCTGAAGCCTGCCCCCCCCCCCAATCTAAGGTTGCAAGCCAAAATCCAATTACCTCCTACAATTATACTACCCGTTCAATTGTAATATGCCAGCTTTCATAGACTGTAGACCAATAAAATCCTGTCCCTTTACTCTAAAATCAGCCAGAATTTTCTTGTGCCTATCAAAAATAATACACAGGCAGTGACTTATTTCTCTACTGGAGATTAAGTCACATAGTAGTCCACTAAATTTACAAATCAATTATAACAGTTCTGAAAAGAAAAAAAGAAGAGCTTATTAGGATAAATGCTGCAAAATCTGGTAAGACAAAATAGGTGAATTTTATAGTATGTAAATTATAGCTCAGTGAAGCTATTTAAAAAACCCTGACAATACCATTTAATCAGTTTCCTCAAAGGGAGTCATGGAAGCCTCATTGTCTGGGAATGTCTAACTCAAACAGAAAGAGCACAATGCAGAGTTTGAGATTTCAATGCATATTGTGCGAAGATAATGCTAAGATGAATGAATGAATTTAGCATTCTATCCTGCATTCTCTTGAATGATAGTTAGCCCAGACCAGACAGGACACATTTCCAGCTCTTTCTAGGAGTGATAACTGTGCACTCAGCATCTACACTCAGCCTCTCTTTCCCAGTGGTACCTATTTGTAAGCTAACTGCCAGCACTAGATATAAATGGCCACAAAACAGAGAAAAGTGCCTGGACCACACAGGCATCCTACTCATGACCCTTAACCACATTTAATTAACCAAACGTCCTTCACCCAACTGCAGCTGTGTGATGACCTGGCTTAGGAAATAGGTACTTTTCAATTCCTACAATTCTCCAATAACAGAGAGTTACTTTGTATTACTATTTGTAAGATAAAGTAACCTTATGTGTATTTGACTAAGGAGTTGCTTTGAAAACTCACGAATTCAAGGAAAAACAAAATGAGGAAGTTCTCTATTGCCCATGGAGGTGAGCACTGGCCCCAAGCACACAGACTTTCTCATCACCACACAGAAGGCCCCAGGAAAGAGTTGGCGTGTCCACAAAGTTCTGAACAGCCTCAGTAATTCAACTAAATGAGATAAGAACTTCGCCATGTAAGCATGAAAATCGATGAAAAGCAGAAATTATTTGGTAGGTGAAAGCAGGAACCCTCCCATTCTCTCCCAAAGCAGACAGTACAGACAGGCAGTAAGTGTGGCAGTTAACGGGGGTCACACTGGAGCCAGACCACCTGAGCTGCAATCCTGACTCTCAATTAACATCATCTCTGGAAAGCGACCAACCCCATCAAAAGGCTATGGAAAGCATTAAGTAACTCAGAAAATGTACCACCAGTGCCTACAATATAATAGGCACGTTTAAAAGGTTACTGTGAAGAGAGGCAAGACAGCAAAGCAAACTTGTTGAAGCTGAAGTGGCAGAAAGTTCCAGGACTGGACAAACGTACCCCAGTGGTGTGACAGCTCAAGGGCTGGTCTCAGAGACTTGGGCTCCGAACCCGATCCACCACTCACTCCTGCGTGACGTGAACCACTCACAGAGCAGGCTGCTTAGCTTCTTCTGACCATTGGTTCACTCATCACTAAAATCTGAACCCACGAGAAAGCATCAGCGCCTCCCTCACAGGCTGCGGTGGGGACTGAGTAAGATGGCACATGCAGAGCAGGAAGCACGGCATCTGCACACAGGAAGCCCTCAGCACATGGTAACCATGTTGCTGTGACCACACACACTCTCAAGGAACAGCTCATACTTACATAAGTCATGCGGGTCAAAGGGCCGAGGCGGATCCGGTTCCCAGTCATCCAGGTCTGTGTCTTCACCATCCTCCTCCTCTTCTTCCTCAGTATCTTCGTCCTCATCCTCATCCTCTTCCTCTTTGGCCTCCAGTCTACCCATAGGGTTCTGCAGTGTTGCCAAAGGGTCTGAACCGTCCACACCCTCAATTGAAGGTAACACCTGGTTATGCACCGGTAATGAGGCCTGGACAAAGTTTAACCATAAAGTTAGCACACATTTGCTTTCACCTGGCTGGTATACACACACACACACACACACACACACACTACAAGGTTCTGGTGGAAGATGTTCATCACATCAGCTCCCTTCAAGACCCTGAAGAAGAAATTATTTCCAGCTCTAGGCTGCCTTCATCTTTGCTATTTCTACCCCACATCTGGGAAAGCTGTTAAGAAAGCCTGGGCGCTCCCTCCTTTAGTGCCTGCCCTGTCTCCCCAGAGACTTCAAACCTTTCCATACCTTCTCGGTGTATCCGTGGTGTCATGTCTCAACATCTGAACTCAATTTTGAGTGTGCGTATGTGTGTGTGTGTGGGGGGGGGTCTCTCCTGCCTTTTCAGGGTGGACACAACACAGTGTAAGTAATAATTTGACCAATATTCAACCACTTCACTTTTAAAACTAAACACACGGCAGGGGGCAGGGGTGGTGCCTGGGGGCTCAGTCGGTTAAGCGTCCAACCCTTGATTTCAGCTCAGGTCATGATCTCACAGTTCGTGGGTTCAAGCCCAGTGTTGGACTCTGCACTGACAGTGCAGACACCTTTTTAAGACACCTTAAAAAGTTCCCTACCTAAGTAAGTGTCACAGGGTTATATGCTACCCCAGGTTCTTTTATCCAATCTTATTTCCACTGCCCGTACTCAAGTCATGTCCCTTTCCTGTTCAATAAATAAAGCAAGTTTTTTAAATGCCTAATCCTTTTTTCTTTATCTTCCCATATGTTGCCGTCCCCACCCAGAAGGCTCTTCCCCCACCAATCTCCCAAACCCTGTCGTGTTCCGGTTTCTCCATGAACCATCTCTGACCACTCTAGTCCTCCCTGATTCTCCTCTGCTCTGATCCCTGTAGCATTTGGAGTCATGGAATCCCATTCTACAACATCCCTCTGCTCCAACATTTCATCATCTCACCAGACAGGCCAGATCATTTGGAATCATTCAGTGATGGTTCCGTGAGGCCGAGTTCTCCCTGTCTCCATGTAGGAGGCAGCGCCTGCACCTTTCCCCTCAAGTAAGACAGAATCGGCGAAGATAAGAGGCTCTGCAAATACTCCAAGACCAAAACCCCTACCTCATTCAAGCATTTTCACATGGCCAAATTTCCAGATCCCTCACCATCCTGTTGGCTTCAAGTATTTGTCAATGGAGTCCATATTTTCAAATGAATATGGCTTCAGATTACATTAGCATTGATGACAGCCATTGTTCCACTACTGACCCAGTTTGAACTTGAAAATAACTAAAATCCCTGAGTCCTTTCTTCCTCCCACAGAGTGTCATTAAACCATTTTACTCCTCCTCATGACTTAAATAGCTGATTTTTACTTAAGTGGTGGGGGGGGGGGGGGGGAGGCAGATTTTGCATTTATCTCCAGTAATTTCATTTTGTTACTTTTTCTCTTCTTCCAGTCTGCCAAGATCCTTTAGAGTCTTGATTCTGACGCCTCACACATTAGCTATTTCTCATAGCTTTGTATCCAGTGCCAAACACCATCTAGGTTTCAATTAGCGTGCATTTGCATGTGAGTCCTTCTTGCCTCTCCAACTGCACCTCGGGGAAGTAGACCATGGGCTTTGGACTCACACAGACTTGGATTAAAATCCCGGCCCCACTATTTAGTGAGTTTAATAAAGCCTCTCTGAACCTCAGTTTCTTTACCTGTCAAATGGACATAGTCATACATGCCTCATTAGTTGTTGTGAGGATAAAATGAAACACTATGTATATGAGGCCAGTAGTAGAGTATCTGGCATTTAGTAACTGCTTGATATTAATAATAATCAACTACTATCACAAGTTCTTTAAGGACTGAGATATCACATACTTCCTCCACAACCTTAAAAGAGCATGTAGCAGGGATTCAATGAAGATTCATTTATAGAAATACATTTGGCCCTTTAGGAAATGACATTAATCTCTTCAGCCACGTAAAGGAACTCTACTGTATTCACAGAAAGTCCTTTTTCAGTAGTGCTTCTTTTTTTTTTTTTTTTAAGCGAGAGAGAGAGTGTGCATGAGCAGGGGAGAGGGAAGGGACAAAGGGGGAGAGAGAGACAGAGAGAGAGAGAGAGAGAGAGAGAGAGAGAGAGAGAGAGAACATTTAGCAGGTTCCATGCCACAGAGCCCAATGAAGGGCTTGATCCCAAGACCCTGAGATCAATACCTGAGCAGAAATCAAGAGTAGGATGCTCAACCAACTGAGCCACCCAGGTGCTCCTCAGTTGTGCTTCTAAGAACTTCTCAAACTCCATGAAGAAACAGTATTGTCTGTGTTTACAGAATCTGACCTGGACAGCTGTACAGCAGCTTACGATTACTGCCCAATATTTGAAGCACTCAGGCTCCAGAGAGCAGATAAAATCAGTTACCTCAAAATAGCATGAGCATGTTTAAACATGCATTCATTTAACCCAGGAGCCAGACTCGTATATGACATTCCATCTCTGGCTCAGGGCCTTTTAGAAGCTTTTATATGAGAGAACAAAATTCTGGGAGATGCTTCAGCATCACAATAAAAACAGGATAAAACATCCACTGAAGTGAGACTCGTCAAGGAAAAGAACAAGGGACTTCTGGCAATGAAACTGCGTGCGTCACCTCCCCCCGGATCCTCTCCTGATCCTGCAACCAAGCTATTCTTGCTATCTCAGAGTGCGTTTTCCTTATCACCCTTTATTCGAAGCCACTTAAATTTCATGCCAGCGTTAGTGATGAATGTTATCACACACTGAACAAACTAAAGCATATATATCCACCTCTACTCCACATAAATTCTTTATCACTTTGCAGAGCCAACCGAAACGAATAAATTCAGTAACCCAGAGTTATCCCAGTGAAGCTGTAATGCATTTTTTCCCAACAGATGCTGCTAGAGAGACTGTGGTTGGGCAAGGTTACCGCTGGCTTCTGGCCACTGCTGAGAAAGCTGACATTAAAATAGTACCAACAACCTCCTCCTCCCCCGTGCTGGAACACTCCTGAAAGGCTGTAGCAACTAAAAGGCTTGAATCCTTCAGCATTAGCTTGAAGAACTGACGCTAAAGCAGAGGTTGTGTATAGACCAGAATCACGCGAGATACTGTGAGCATTAGTATCGATGATAATCACTTCTAGGTAACCAGTGTATTTCTAGGTAGCACAGACCTTAATACACAGTGGGCACACCTTACAAATTTGTTTAATTAATAATTCAAAGCCAACTGACATTTCTGGAGAGCTAGGCATGTCTTTAAATTCCTTTGAGGTCGGGTAACACAACCACACGGCTCCTAAGTGACAGAGAGGGAATTCAAATTCAGACTCTGCCCTGCTTTTTCCACTCCGTCACAGTGGCACCTATGTGGTTAAGTCTGTTCAAGGAGGGCACCAGAGGAGGTAAACATCACACACACCTTGAATACCAGAGCAACAAGGTAACCACACCTGCTCCGGAGGCAACAACCAGGCAGTGAGGAGGCGAGCTGTGTGTGCCAAGTTCACTTACAGGAAGTGAGTAAGCAACAAAAATATGTTAATCCTATGCACTTTATCATGCACAACAAAACACAGGACAAGGAAAAAGAATGTGTTCAACTTATGGTACACTTTCTCCTGCCCACTTAATATCAGTCTCCGTAATTATTTCTGAAATTACATAATGCATTTCAGGATACAATGTATCCCAGAAGTGAAATATGAAACTACATTGGACAGCAGCAAACACAACAGAATGCTTCTGGATTCCTACTGAGACCAATTATCATTGTAGCATATTTCCTTCTCAGTGTGTGGGGAGTCACACATGTTCATTTTCAGAAACAAAGGAGAGAGCGTGCTTCTAGGTCTGGAGAGTGCCAGTGTCTTCCTTAAGGACAAGGGATGCACATATATGAAAAAGGCTTCAGATGAATGTTGCCACCACTATAAACAACTGAAAATAGGAAAGTTTTTGCTAAGGGGAGAGGGGAAAAAGCACTCATCCACTGTGGTAAACTGTCACTCTTAACTTCCTATCTAGAATTTTTCCAGGTCACAGAATAAACTGACCATCTCTAAGGTATTTATTAGAGGCAGAAATAAAAGCCATGCTGGTTGAAAGGAAACTGCAAGAAGGAAAGGTGCTAAGCCAATAGTTACACCGCCTCGTAACGCCAGGGCTCAGAGAACTCTCCGACTACAAAACATGAGAGGAGCAGATTGTTTCTGGAGATTAGAGAAAATGAAGGGCTCTTTGAGGTGCCAAGGGCAGCAAAACTTCTAATTAAAACTATGCCTTGATATTAAAACAACAAGATGCCATTTTGCCTATCAGATTGGCAAAATTTGAAAAGAATGCAAATACTCAGTGTGGCAAGGGTGAGTGGAAATAGGTATTCGCACGTATCGTCAGTGGGAAGGTAAATTTTTCAGCATCTGCAAAGCAATTTAGAGAGTCTTATCAAAATAACTTTCCCAAGTGCTCACTTCCGCAGCACATATACAAAATAACTCCCTCTCATCCCCGCAAATAACTTTCCCGTTTATAATAACAATTTTCAATCCCAGACTTTAGCCTCTACTACAAAGCTGTAATCATCAAGACAGCATGGTATTGGCACAAAAACAGACACATAGACCAGTGGAATACAATAGAAACCCCAGAATTAGACCCACAAAAGTATGGCCAACTAATCTTTGACAAAGCAGGAAAGAATATCCAATGGAAAAAGGACAGTCTCTTTAACAAATGGTGCTGGGAGAACTGGACAGCAACATGCAGAAGAATGAAACTAGACCACTTTCTTACACCATTCACAAAAATAAACTCAAAATGGATAAAGGACCTGAATGTGAGACAGGAAACCATCAAAACCCTAGAGAAGAAAGCAGGAAAAAACCCCTCTGACCTCAGCCACAGCAATTTCTTACTTGACACATCCCCAAAGGCAATGGAATTAAAAGCAAAAATGAACTATTGGGACCTCATGAAGATAAAAACCTTCTG